GCTGACGACGGATAACAAAAGACCAGCCATCTGTAGAAACGCTCTCAAGAACGTCGTCCGTGATGGACCCATGCGGGGTGACATTGTCGTGTTGAAGAACGAACCGCTTGATCCCGCTCGGATAAGTCGCCTTGATGGCAGGAACCACCTTGCTCACGATGAAATCACGGTACACCTTGGCATTGACATTCACCAACTTGGTCACCATAGTTCCGGCAGGACGGTTGCGTGACGATCGCGCCGCAGGGGAGAGAGACACAAATGGCCACCTGCCAACCAATCTTTCCATCAAACATGGTCCCCCGGATATCGTCGAATCTTGGGCGTGCTACGGCAGCGAGGAACATGACCCTTGGTTTGAATCGCTTGCTTTTCCATGCACGCGGTCGAGGAAGCTCACCTGGCACCAGGTAATGCTTGCGTCGGTCCTTGTCAGCATTGAACCACTTTTCGTCCAGGTGGACGACATTCCAGAGGAGATCCAAGTTGGGAGGTGCTCCAGCTTGTTCTCATTCGACAGGAGAGGTTTGATTCGGGACGAGTGTCGTTGAATGGTTCCATTCTTGAGATGGCAGCTCAGTGTTCCCATGGACACACCAGTTGCAGCCGAGAGGTCTCGCATGGTCGAGCGTCTGTCGTCAGGTACCGCGCGACTGAGGTCTTGGATTTCGTTGGCTGTTTGCACGATCTTCTTGCCGACCCTGCCTGCCTTACTCGACTTGATGCTGCCACGGTTGCGAAACGTCCGCCATACGTGGACAACTGTTTGGCGCGTGATTGCGAGCTGGAGTGCAACTTTGGTCATGGCACCGTGCATTAGCTTTCCCTTGTTGAAATATGGCTGTAGCTGTCGAACAATTTCTACTTTAATGCCAATGGAGAGCTCGCGAGAAGTGCGCTGCGGTTGATTCTCCATGGCGGTTAGTTTGAAAATGTCCTCTTTTGAGTATGTGTGTAATTTTATTCGAGTGGTGGCAATGCGATGTCGATTTTGAGCGCGAAGTTCGAGGTTTGGTGGTTGATGGCCAATGACTTAAACCTGCAGTTTCTTTTGACTTTATAATATGAATTTCTGCATGCCTTTTTGTCCAGAAATGAATTTTTGGGGTCACAGTGAAGGCAATTGTTAACAGTACTGTGGGACAGAGGATGTACTCGATTTGACAGGTACGTTTGTTCCTAAGGAGCATGCAATTGATGTCGAAACTTGTCGTGTATCAAGTGAGAAAGGTACTTTGGCGCTTCAAAGCATCACCATGGATATCCTCGTCGCCTCGAGCAATTGGTATGATGTCTACGGTATATTGAAGTTTGAACTGCTTCAACCTTGGTCCTAGACAGACGTGAGGTTACTCGGTGAGTCATAACGTAGTGAAGCATTGATCGGTCACATTGGTGATGAACTTTGACGCCGTATAACTCCATGGAATATTCTCGGTTGGAGCTGATATATACATCATCGTGACGGCCAGATTAAGGTCTTTAACGTGATATGCGAATAAATCAGTTTAGACAGTACGACGTGATTGAGGGAATTTTTGAATTCGTGACGAAAAACAATGCGAACCAAATATCCGCCAATTTTTAACTTGGTTATTGTATATTGGTGATTTTGATTCGGCACCTTCATGAGAACCATCAAAAATTAGAAAATTATGAAGTGTGAAGAGGTAATACTTGTGAGAGTAGTGCTTGAGAAAAATCCTGAAACACGGGACGAGACGTTAATGGGACGAGGCAGCAATGAGACAAGGCGTTTAATGATGCCACCAGGTTTCATGAAATTTATTCTCATTTTTAATTTTGCCACCAACTATTGTCGGGGCCAATTGGGATCGCGCACGGGCAATACGGATTGTAATATAAATATGATAGAATACGAATATCAAGATACTAAGATGAGTGGCGTGTAGGCTGTGAGAGCAGCAGTATTTAGCACACTTCAGAACACATTTAGCATCAGTGTGCGACGAGTCATGAAGAAAAAACACCAGCTCTCAGCAGCCGAAAAGTACTTGGTTGTAAAATGCCATGAATACTTTATGAAGCTAAAGGCTACAACTACGGGTCCACAAGCACCCGTGCGACAGAGGGTGGCTGACTAAATAAAACCTTCCATATTACCTATAGTTCACCTAAGCCTGGTTAGTTTTGTCCAATCAATTGTCCTAAAAATAACCCTATACTCCAACTGGGGATGTTTTTCACTTGACGTTTTTGAACGGTGTATTAATATTCCTTATCATTCTGAAAGCGACTTGTTGGCGATTTAGTCGCATCAGAAATTGTTTGACGTTTTTTATATCATCGTTTCGTCGAAATTGGACATCTCCTTGAAGAGTTGTGAGGTCTAAAATGGTGAACGATCCCAATCGGCCTTGACAATAGACAAGTTTCCGCCTTAAACTCTCAGAAAGGAGGGGGCAGTCCCAAGCCAAACACTCCATCATCCCAAGTACTGGCTTTCCACCGGGGCGGCCTAGGTCTAGATGAACCATTCGTGGTGATAAGCCGGGGTGATGGGGCAAAGGTGTTCTCGTGTTGTGGTAATCCAAGATCATTCGTGTATGGGACCCCCCGGCCAAAATGCAAAGTCTTTTTGCGGCAATTTCAAAACTTAAGATTTCATGGAATTTATAGAATAAAACATTTCATGTGCACGTTTTCGATTGTTTAAACAACTGCAGTTTGAAGGACTGTTGGTAAGGAATTTGTTGCGTTTTCGGCGTCATTCCCACGAACAGTTTTTGTCTTTTTCAATTTTGCAGCAGCAGCTTGCTCTTGAAGTTGTTCATGGTAATTGGCTGTGATAAACATGCCACTTACCGTAATTGTTTTCTGTTCGGAACGCTTCTTTTCAATGGAGGCAAAAGTAGGACGGACTTTCGGGCGGCTTCATCACGACGTAGCCAGGACATGTGAACTTATTCTGAAAATTCAGCTTGGGGTTTGAACATTGACAGTCGGTGCATCATGGCCTTCAAACTTGGGGGGCATAGTCCAGTGAACACAAAGCCAGAGATGATAGTTGCAGGCTTTGTTGAGCAGCCCAAACTTCGCAAGTATTTGACACTGCATTTTGCTTGGACGTCGTAACGGCAGCTCCAGGGATGGTCAGTTGGTCGCACACTGCTGTCGATACTCGGTCTCCAGGGAAAACAAACAGCGGCTGGATTTTGGACCCATCTGCTCCAAGGCAAGCAACAATGGTAACATGAGAAGACATAGTTGGCTCTGCGACGAAAACCATTTTTGTTGTCTTCCTGGAAACCACACAGATGACGTCTTGCCAGGAGAGAACTGGTTTCGTCCATGTTGAACACACGAGATGGATCTATGTCAACACAGGACAAAGCATGGATCAGCTGGTGGAAAAAATTGACGACACAGAGTGATGGAGTTGCGGGCAGAACTTAGGACTTGTGCCTTTCTTTTTGACACCTCCGGATGTCTCTGCATAAATCGATGATACCAGCCATGAGTCAGTGGAGGTTCGCACTGACATCCGTTGATCACATTGCGAATCTCGTTGGCCTTGGCCATTATTGGTCCTCTTCCAACCGAATGACCATTACATTCCACTGCAATGACCCATGCAACCAGATCCTGTTCGAACGACTTTGGGATGTACGGGCTTCTGCCAATGCGAGGTGGTTCAGATGGGATATTGCATTGTTGAGCTTGAGTCACATGGGTTCGCAAGGTTCGGTATGGTATACCGTAGCTTATGGCAATGTTCACCATGGTGTCGGTTTTGTTGATTACATCGCTTACTGCGCT